CACTGTGCTAATTCTAGCATCAATTTCGAGTGAAATTTTCAGTGACGGCAGAATGGTCTTCGAAATTTTCTTATTGCTAATTTTTCTTTCATCATCCTTATGTGAATTGTGATGTCAGTTAATCACCGAAAAGATTTTCGTCTCCAATTCTATTTCAACTCTCTTCAAATTTGAGTGTCATTTAACGAAAATCAAGTAATTATCTTGAAGGCACTTTACACATCTGCCTATTCGTTAGCAAACAGTTTGGGACCAGATCATAAGAAGTTGGCGTCGATGGACGTTGAATTGGGCGCAAACGAACAGAATGAACTCAATAAAAAATTGTACGTGTTNCCGTCAACCTTTTCTTCAGCACCAATCGTTCATAAATATCACCACAGCTCAAAAACAATTCATTCTTCAGTTCTTAAACATTGCGTTTAGGTATTATAAAATGAAATCCTCATGACATTGGTAGTCTGGGTAAACCAAAAATAAACCAGAATTTTCTAGCAATTATGTCCGAATCATTGGGAAATTCAGGTGTCAACTTCTAAGCCACTCACTTCTAAGGCAATTCTAAGCTTCTAAGTCTTCTAAGTCACTTCTAAGCCACTGTTTTTTTTTTGCAATCGGCAGAGTGGGATTTGTAACGGTTTCTTTTTGAAGGAGTCGCGAGAATTCGTTTCCGATTCCGATTGCGTTGTCGATGCTTGTGCTCTGGATCGGTGTTTCGGCGGGCCTCTTCTGTTTGTGGGAAACTGAATGGGGCTATTTAACATCAGTTTATTTTTTCTTTGTTTCTATAAGGTGAGTGCGGATTGTGATGCATTTGCTTAATGTATGAGCATTTGTCAAGGTTACATTCATACACAGTGGCATACTGTATGTGAATGAACTAAACTTACGGGTATCTTCTGGAGTGGTTCGAAAGCAGCAGCAATATCGTTGATTTCACCAATAATTATGGCGCTCGCGAAAATTCCATATGATCTCAACAGATACTGTTCACAGAAACTTACACACCAAAACTAGAGTAGGAAACAAGATATTTGATTTGGCATAACCGTCAAAGTTCGTTCCACGGGGAGTGTTCGATTGAACTTACTCTGCCATGAATAGTGTCACGTGACGAATGATAACTGTTTATTTTGCAGCACAGTTGGTTTGGGTGATATAGTGCCAGGGAATAAAGACATGATGCTGGTGAATTTTGTTCTCATTTTGATTGGTTTGGCCTTATTATCGATGTGCATTAATCTTATTCAGGTAATCATTTCATTGCTCACGTTCTCAGAAGAATTCAGCAAAATATCTCACTAAAATCTTACTCATTTATGACAGACTGTTTCAAAGGATGAATGTTTCGAGAATAAATCTACGTAATCGAGAACGGTGTTAAGAAGGAAACTATTGAAATGAATCGATCCAATGTTTCAAATTTCTCAGTG